TAGGAAATCATTAGTCCCAAATAAGATGGGATTCTGTTCAACATGAATGGAAGAGAATAGAAGTAGAAGATTCCATTACAGACTGTGACAGGGCGCTTGCCTTGCACTGCCCCTTTAAGGGCAAACCCCAGCCTTGAGCAAGGGTTGGGAGTAAAGCCCCAGCTGAGGCAGGCCTCACTGATTAGGGCCCAGCTGGGGACCATATAATGAAGGACTCCTGGAGGGAGGAAAAAGGTTGGACTGCTGCTCTGGACTTAGGGCAGTAAGGACCTGGCTGCCAGGGAAGCAGGAGGCTCCCTGGAGCTAAAGCAGGTCTGGGAAAGCAAGGCAGGGCTAGGGGAGCTCTGGCCGAGTAAGCTCCCAGGCTGCAGGGCTTGAGACACGGCACGCTGAGTAAACGACCCCCAGAAGGGGGGCTCAGAGACTGATGTGGGCACGGCCGGAGGGCAATGTCCTGAAGAGGACGCCGTGACCGGGAGAAAGAAGGGAGATGCCACCAGAAGGAAGGCACCCACCTGGCAAGAAAGAGCTAATTCCCAGGACAGAGGGCTGGTGGCGCTGCTAGTCCCCTCACTCCCTGCAATAGGGATGTAAATGGGCAACTGCTTAATGGGTTACCCAGTAAGCCTCAGCTTTATTGGGTGATGCTTACTGGTAACTGATTAACTAGCACCCGGCCCAACTAGAGTCACCCAGCCAGGCCCACTGTTCCGCACTGCAGGCATGGGGGTGGGGTGCTAGCTTACTGGTTCCAGTTAATGAGTAACCAGTGGGTACTGAAGCAGACTCCCCCCGCAACAAACAGTGGGCAGGGGGCTGCTCCAGTCCGCCATGGACAGGTGTTGCTCTTGTCCAGAGCAGACCCTGTCCTCAGCAGGCCTGGGCACCCTGGGTAGACTGGAGCTGCTCCAGCATCAAGCAACTTCTGTCTGCTGGGAGCCAGCATCTAGCCTCAGCAAGGGACTGAGGCTGGATGCCCCACAGGCTGGGGCCTGCTTCAGCTGGGCTGGAGGGGTCCCCCTACCAGATCCTGCTTTATTCGGTTAACCAGTTAAACATTAGGTCACCCAAACATTTAACAGGTTACCTGATTAACTGGGATTTTACATCTGTAGGCACCAGATGTTCTGATTTTATAGCAACAGACTTCTACAGGTACCTATTACCCCCATCCCAATTTTTCACATATGCTATCTGGGCACCTTATCCAGAGAGTTTGTATCAAACAGGAGGACTGCTCTTGTTTGTGAACGTTACTGACCAACAGCGAAAAAGGTCAGCCAGGAGTTCCACCAACTTCTCTCTTGCCTACAGTATAAAATATCAATTTAAATGTTGTGAACTGTGCAGAACTGTCCTGGGAAGCCCTGGAATTTGCTGGCTCGAGGAAGTTTCATGGTAGGGAGGTCTTAGGGAGTCAGGGTTTGATAGCAATACTTTGTTGATATAGTGTTTTCTACCAGCTACTGCCTCAGGAAGCTCTTTAGAATATAAGATTGAGCTATTCTTTTGTGGAAGTAAATCTATTACAGTCACAGATACATCTATATGGCGATTCTTTGCCAGCTACAATTCTGTGCATACCTATGATTTGTCTACAGGTTGAACCTCCCTGGTCTGGCACCTTCAGGACCTGATCTGTCCTGGACAAGGGAGTTTGCCAGACCAGGGAAGGTCAGGCCTCCAGGCTCTCAGGGGGCACTGAGGCTCTCCACTGGGCTCTGCTCCCCTGCCAGCTCTGCAGGCTCTGCTGCCCCACTGCCCTGCCGCTACCCCGGCACCATGAGCTCTACTGCCTTGCTGATCCCATGAGCTCTGCTGCCCTGTGGGTTCCACCAGCTGGTTCTCTGCTTCCAGCCTCCAGCAACATTTGCTGCTGGGGCTTTCAGGTCCAGCAACAGCCGAGGTCTGGCAGTAGACCAGAGAGTCCCAGACCAGAAAGGTTCAACCTGTACTATAGTTGCAGCACACTGTCTCTCAAGAGTAGACCATGTTTTCTTCCCTCCCAGCATCAGGGTTGCTTATCACTGCAGCCAAAAAAACTGAGTGGAGAGGCTTTGTCCTGGGAGAGGGGTTTAGGCTGCGCTTTCAGAAGAACCCACTAATTTAGGTTGCCCAATTTAAAACAGTACTGGCCTTGGAACATTAAGGGCCCGCTGCTTTGCAGAGTTAGGTACTGTTCAACATAAGGAAGTGGCCCTACAAGAGCACCACGCTCATTCACATTAGGTTAGATTTTATTCAAAACTGTAGGGACTAGAGTATTTATATTTCTGAACTGTGCAGAAACTGATGGGGCAGGAAGCCACTGCGGACCAGCTCAGTCTTCCCCCTCTTCATAGGAAAATACAACATATTTCATCTCTCTTCGCATACTTGAAAAATCTGGTGCAAACACACCAATCCCAAAATCACATACACACTTTCCTTTTTATGAATTGAGCTTTTATATCTGTTGTTAGTTTTGCTATAAAGGGCCTTTTTGTCTTAAATATCAAACGTCAAATATTTTTGCAAGAATGCTGCACCCATATTAAAGCTGTTTTCCTTTGCAAGAAACGTTAGATAACAAACATGCTCCTGGGCTCAGTCCCTGCTCTTTCAATTATAAATGCTTTGCTTTTTAATTGGAAGTTTCAAGGGGGAACTGATGGCTTAGGGTCACAAGTTCAAACCTCCCTCAACAATAACCAAGGCTCTGATCTTGCAATTTATTTCTCTGTGGGCCTTTCACACAGCAAGAGGGGACAGATAAGCATTTTTAAATGGTTTAATCAGAACAGTATGATTATGCACCACAAAAATCATCAGAATGGGGATTATAGGTAGGACCTGAAACCGTTTTTAATTCTTTAAAATTGACTAATTCTGAAGTTGAGACTGTCCCTTCAAAGGATTAAGACTAGTGCTTATAATGGTTTTATAAAGAATTAACTGTTCTGGAGGCCTCCATAATAGAAGTGCTCTTTAAAATGAGCAGAATTACTGAGGTCCTGCCATGATTCACAAAGCATGGGTGGGACTGAAGTTCTTAGGACTGCATGGGTACTTTTGTGTTGGAACTTAGAGGATCAGGACATGATATCTCAGAACAAACCTAATCACAATTTTACACACACACTCTCTCATTCTCACACTCTCTAATATCTAATAATCCATAACAAGGGTCAGGGCTGTTTTTAACTCACCAGGCCGCAGATTCAATGAGATCTTCTGAGGCATTATTTGTGTCACGTCGGAAAGGGTGGAGCTGGAGCCCTTGCTGCTTAGAGGCAGATTCTCCACTATGTGAATGCTGCTTTTTTTAGTCTCAATTTCTCCTGCACAGCCATTCGTATTCAGGTTTTCTACGAAGTCACACCTCGAGGTGATGAACTTTGTGCTGCCAAATTCCTAAAAGTTGGAGAAGGAACAAAAGAAAAAAAAAAATCAATTCCACAAGGGGAGCCTTGGTTTGACATGCAATAACCTGCAGTAAGGTGAGAGGGGGGAAAAAGGACAATGTCAGGTAGATTGGCTGCACCTCCAAGGCATCCAGCATGCAGAGGAATTGAACCTTTCAGATAAAACTAATGCAAAAATGAAAATTCAAGGGAGGATAGGGGAGAGGGTAACCCTTCGGAAATATTGTGAGATCTGACCAGTATAGTGTAAACACAGAGGCCCATTGGTGGTTCACTGCTCTGTGACAGCAGCACCTGACAAACTCATTACACTTAGCATATCTCTGTCCTAGTATTTATCCACAGAGTATCTTGTGAGGTGTGGAATGAAAGCTGATAACACATGGTCTTTAATATCACTGTGGAAACATATGTGTAATTGTTATATGAGAAGTTATGGGTACTGACTAATATTATGCTTCAAAGTCTGCAACACAAAAAGGAGAAACAGGTTTTCTTCCAGACAGAAGGGAAGGTAGTTAGTTATCTAACTCTAATGTAAATTGAGCAAAGTGAAGCCAAAGACAAGAGGGACTCTATTTGCATGTAAGCCAATAAGAAAAGACTATCTGACAAGCAGATGCAAAATCAGCATCAAAAGACACCAGAGTTTGAACACCATGGCTGTGTCTAGACTGGCAAGTTTTTCCCCAAAAGCAGGCACTTTTGCGGAAAAACTTGCCAGCTGTCTACACTGGCTGCTTGAATTTCCACAAGAACACTGACGATCTCATGTAAGATTGTCAGTGTTCTTGCAGAAATACTATGCTGCTCCCATTCAGGCAAAAGCCCTCTTGCGCAAATGCTTTTGCGCAAGAGGGCCAGTGTAGACAACGCGGTATTGTTTTGCGCAAAAAAGCCCCGACCGCGAAAATGGCGATCGGGGCTCTCTTGCGCAAAACCGCGTCTAGATTGGCATGGACGCTTTTCCGCAAAAAGTGAAAAGCATTTGCGGAAAATCATGCCAGTATAGATGTAGCCCATGGGTTTATATTAACTCTGGAAATACAGACAATTAGGCTGTGTCTAGACTGCAGGGTTTTTTCGAAAAAAGTAGTCTTTTTTCGAAAAAACGTCACCTGCGTCTAGACTACAGCCGTGTTCTTTCAAAATTAAATCTAAAGAATGTGGCTTTTCTTTCGACGGCGGTACTCCCCATTTCACAAGGAATAACGCCTTTTTTCAAAAGTGTTCTTTCGAAAAAAGGCGCTATGTAATGCAAACTGTGCTTTTTCGAAAGAGAGCATCCAGACTGCCTGGGTGCTCTCTTTAGAAAAACTTTTTTGAAAGTACTGATTGTAGTCTAGATGCTCTCTTTCGAAAGATACTTTCTTTCGAAAGAGGCTTGCAGTCTAAATGTAGCCCTAGTTCTGGAGAGCTAGAAGATGAATCTAAAAGACATTTGGTTACTGGGTAAGCTAGATTCAGACTCAGGGTGGCAGGGCTTCTGATGCTGAGATTAGTCTTTCAATGACAAATTGCCTTTGAAAAGGATTAAAGCCTCTTATGTTAAATTTTAGTCACTAGAAAGCATGGCATTTGTTTTGTTTTGTTTGTAACCACTTCTATTATCTTGCCTATTATCACTTAAAACTCTGTGCTTAATTAGTAAACTTATTGATTTGACTATAAATTTATCTCAGGACTATAATATGAAAGTGCACATCCTCAGCCAAGCAAACGGGTTGGTGTATATACTATCTCCCTGGAGACAGCAGGCTCGGGAATTTCTGTGAGTGTTTAGTGGCAGGGGCTGGGAACCACAGAGGAACACTCATGAAGGAGGCTCAAAGGTTAGGCTGCCTCTAATGGTAGCTTGCAAGGCAAAGAGAGAACTGGCATTGCCGTAAGGGACATATTTGGCTGGCTAACAGAGTGGAGTAGGCAGGGACTGTCACCCCGCTTAGCAACAACCAATCACTTTCATGGAGTCAGTAGGTGACAAAGCATCAAAGTCCAATATGCTATCTAATGCTTAGGCTATATACTAATGTTTACACACAGCCATCATTCTCTAAAGTGCTTTGCATACAAAAGGCAGAGGACTCTTACAGTCTATATTACACACAGCAAGGGATGATAAGCTAGTGAGAGAGAAAAGGGGATTCTGAAACAAAAGAAAAAACTATGTAGCACTTTAAAGACTAACAAGATGGTTTAACAGGTGATGAGCTTTCATGGGCCAGACCCACTTCCTCAGATCATATTCTGGAAGAGAACTGGCATGACCATATATACTAAAGGAATACAGTGAAAAAAGTGAACACACTATTCCTTTGGTATATATTTTCACTTTTTTCATTATATTCCTTTGGTGTATATGGTCATGCCAATTCTCTTCCAGAATATGATCTGAGGAAGTGGGTCTGGCCCACGAAAGTTCATCACCTAATAAACGATCTTGTTAGTCTTTAAAGCGCTAGATAGTCTGATCTTGCTAAAAACAAAAGGAAAATCTAACACGGCTACCTCTCTATTACTATTCAACATGCAAGGGGATTCTGAGTGAGCCAGTCCTAGATCAGGAGCAGTATTTCAAGCACAGGTAGGAAACATGAATTACTCTGCACGTGTGGGGGTGAGAGCGCGAAATATCCTGCAGTGTGAACAGAAGCAAATAAGAGGCCAGACCAGGCTAGTGATGAAAGGAGGAGAGGGGGCGGGGACGGGACGGGACAAGAAAAGATTTGAAATGGGAGAGGCAGGGTGAGTCAGAGGATCAATGTGTCCACAGCTCTGTACAGTAAGTAGAACATCCTAAACCAAGGGTGAGCAATAATTTTTGACCAGGGGCCACTTCAGAAATTTTCGCACTGCAGAACGGGGACAACGCGGGAGGAGACTTCATGCGATTCCTCCCCCCAAGCCCTGCTTGGCCTAGGGGCGGAGGGAGCACACAAAGTCTCTTGCTTCATACCCTCTCTGGTGCATGACTTAGTCAACCCTGGTGGTTGACTAAGTGCTACGTGCTCCCCCGTCCTTAGCCCTGATTGGCCTGGGGGCAGGGGAGCAGAAGGGCCTCCACGGGCCAGATCAACCTACTTGGTGGGCCAGATCCGACCCGCGGAGGCCCTTTTGGCCACCCCTGACCTAAACCAAGAAGATCCTCCTACTCCAAGTATCTTACAGCATCGGCAGATCTGACAGGACAGCGTAATCCCAGCAGCGTGTAGTACACATCTCCCTCTGTGCCGACCAAGAGGATATGAGTTATTACAGCCACCAGCTGTAGAGTTTGGCTTTTGAGTTCATGCTTTTAGGTCTGGAGGACTCCACTTCAGTCCCTAGGGTGTGGGCCAAGACGGCAGCCACACTTAAGTGGGGAGGTTCATGTGGAATTTGAACGGCTATGGATGCTTGGAGGGAGCTTCCTTTGCACAGAGGAATGTGTAAATGTATACATGTCACAGGTCTGCCAAACTGTAGACAGCTGCTTCAGAGACTTGGCTTTTCAGCTCAAGCTGTAACAGCTTCTTAGATCTGGATGATCACTGTTCAGTGCTGGTGTGTCAGCCTGGAAGGCAGCCATCACAGTACTACACACAAATGCAGTACAGACTTAATGCATGTGGTCACTGCAGATGGAGAGGTTCAGGAAAAAGTGTTAATTACGAGACACGGGACACTTGGAGCACATCAACATCCATTTGGTATGAATGAAAGGACCAAGCAGTCAACGGATGCAAATTATGAAAAAGGCAATATTTTCCACTGTTGTACGCAGTGTAGCTGAAGCCATGTTGGTTTCAGGATATTAGAGAGACAAGGTGGGTGAGATCTTTTATTGGACCAACTTCTGTGGGGGAGAGACACCTGCTTACAAGCCACACAGAGTTCTTCTTCAAGTCTGGGAAATGTGCCAGGATCACAGCAAAAAGCAAGGTGGAACAGATTGTTTAGCATCAATAGTTAGCACATGTTGCAAGGGACCATTCAAAGCAGAGTTGCCTGTTAACAACTCTGCAGTCTTAGGACAAAAAAGAGGAGGTTCTTGAGTTACACGGATTGTTGTAATAAACCATAAACTTTGTCTCTCTAATATCCAGGGACCCACATGGCTACAACACTGCATACAACGGTAAGATATCAAATTTAGCCATCTGAAATGGAAACTCCATAACATGAAGAAAAAGAAACAAAAAACTTAACAGCGACATCTGTTTCCCGAGCAATTGCAAGAAACTAAACATCACCCCTGAGGCCTCACCATCTCTAACTTGCTGTCTACTCCACACAACTCCAAATATGCTGAACAGCTTTGCACAGGTACTTATTACAACCATCAGTAACTCTCTTTTTTGTACTACAACTGCAAAAGTGTTATCTGGCCACTCTACCTGGAATGGTCTCTCACAAAACTGTTGTGATATGGCAAGTACCCTTCCAAGATCTAAAGAAGAGCTCTGTATTAGGGATCCGCTAGGGTACATGGTTAAATGGTTAACTGATGAGTCTTGATTCGTCAGTGAACCTTCTCAGTTACACAGAAGCCACTCTGCCTCTGTATACATGGGGGTGAGGGGGCAGGCAATGCCATGGTTACAAAGTTAACATTTCAGCCAGTACCCATGTAACAAAAAATAGCTTTTTAACATCCCTCCTCAGTTTGGGAGAAAGCTTGTTGTACGCTGGTCCAATAAAGGATATAACCTTACCCACCTTGTCTCCCTAATAAAAAGGAAAAGTGAGGAGAGATTCTGGGATCACTGGGAAGGAGTGAGAGCAGAAGTAGGTAAGAATGGAATGATTTAATGGAGGAGGGGGAAAATTGGAGAAATAAATTGTGTATGTCGAGGAAGATGTTAAAACCTAATATGGGCTTATAGATAAATTTATCTTCCCTTAGTGAGTGTCTGGCAATTAATATTGAAGCAAACTATAGGAAATTTGTATCCTGTTTATGTAGAAGGAAGAGTGCTGAGGTGTAGTCCACAGCTGATTAGAGCCATT